CAGGACCCTGGGATCATGACCTGAGCCGAAGGCAGACGCTTAATGACTGAGCCACCCAGGCGCCCCAGAAAATGACATGTTTTATGTGACTTTGGGATACCATGATCCCGGAATCCTATGAGATGGGACCATTACATTTGTGGTTTGTTGTGACTAGGAAGAGTCCAGGATTTTAGCAACTCCTAGGGTTAAAAATGGCCCCTGGAGTGGGTTAGGAATCCTGTGACCATTGCCCCAGCCTTTGCTGGAACTCTCCCAGGAAGGGGGAGTTCGTTACCTTAAAGAGTAGCCTGTTTCATCTCAAATAGTCCCAACCACTAGAAAGGATTCCCTTGCCTTGATCTGACCTTTTATTCATTGGTCATGCACTTATCCTTTGGCGACAATTGAATTAGAGGAATGACTTTGAAATATCTGAGAAGTGATTTTATTTTTCCCTGCACCATCTCTTCCAGGCTGAAGATCTTTAGTTCTTTAAAAACAAATTCTTGCTTCCTGCATATTGCTTCCCCTTTTTGGAACATGCCCCAATTTGTCTGAATCCTTCTTACCACTCAGAGTGTAATACACTTTGTGTAGATTAAGGTGGAAAGGAAAGTAGAACTGTTACCTCCCATGTTTTGGGAACCATATTACTATTAAGACAGGCTGGACCTGCACATACATCCATCAACACTTAAGAGGTTTCAAGGGAAGTGCACTAACTTTCCCAGTAGAATTGGAGTTTGTGGGTACTCTTTTGCTACTGTCAACCCCTGTGACCATATACTTTGTCCAGCACCACTGATGTCACTGCTGTTAAAATCCAAGTAAAGGTGATAGAAATTAATCACAGTGTTAACCTTTGGGTCAATTTGATGCTCATTTTATTCATACACTGACTAGTCGGGATGAGAGACCTAGTATGCCTTGGCCCTATAACTCTCATTCCCAAGAGACAGGTTAAATCTGTCCAGTAGGGCTTCTCCCTTCCTGTCTCACTGTTCCCTCTAGCTATTCTGTTCAGAGAAATTCCACTCAGCATTTCAGTATTCATGGCTCAGCTCAAACACCATTTCTAACATGGATCTAGTCTAAAACTATATCTCACCTGTCCCAATTTCCATAGTTGGGGATCCTTTTCTGAGATTCTGTCACTTTTCACTTTCGAAGTCTTAACAGTTGTACTGATTTCATACTGCTTCCCACCACTGGACTCTGTGCTCCTTGAGGGCCAAGACCACATCTTCATCATCTTTAAGTCACCAGCACCTAGCACGTGTAAAGTGAGTGTGGTGAATTAATGAATGATTCAGTTCATGAATTTCCTACTTGAGATAAGACTTCTTGAGTTGACCAGCAGAGGTCACCCCAATTGTTTGAGAGCTGAATGGGGCTACCTTTCCACTGCAGAGATTGACAAAAGTCAAGATGGTGGTCGCATTGACCAACCCCATGGCTAAAGTTCTCCAGTTCTTTAAATATAAATTAACAAGCATTTTTTGATGAATCTTCTAGTTACCTATGATGAATCAGACCCCTTGCCTTCCTCGGGGAGCTCAGTCAAAGATGTGTGTGTTGGGTGGGGGCATCTGTCAGAGTTGTGGCTGATGTCAGATCTAAGCCTGCCCACAGCCCTCTGGCTCCAGGCCCTCAGGCCTTTCCTGTGGGACCAGAAGAATATCTAGTATCATGGGAGGTGGTGGTGCTTTCTGGCTTTCTCCTACAGCCTTCTGCAGTCAGCACCTTACATAGGACCTAGGACATAGTAGGTATTCAGTAAATGACAGTGTTCGTTGTTTTTCCTGTGTGTGTCCCAGTAGCCCCCTGGCTGTGGCTGAGGGCAGGGTCTGCATCTGGTGGTTTTCATCTGCTGACTAGCAGAGCAGCAACTTCAGGGAATCTCTGAAGTTATAGGATCAGGCTGGTTCTCCCACCCCATTAGGGGAAGGGGACCTGGAGGAGTTTAGTGGGCAAAGAGGCTAGGTAGAGGTCTTTGGACCCTGGCCGAGCTTCCTGGGCTGCAGACCTCCATGCAGGTGGCCTCTGTGAGCACCTACTCTGTGCTTGGTGCTCTATATCATTTCATCCTTAGAACATTCCTGCATGGGAGGCATTCTTATCTCTGTTCCCCTGACAAGGGAAGTGAGGCTCAGAGGTAAAGCCAACGTTCAAGGCCACATAAGCCAGTGAATGGCAGAGTGGGGACTCAAATCCAAGTATAAGGTTCCAAGACCTGTGTTCTTTCTACCTTGCTATCCTGCCTCTCCAGATTGAAACCTCACTTTTCTAAGAGGACACAGAGAAGCCAGGCCCATTGGTTCAGGTCTGTTGGAGAGATCATGGTCCTAGGCCTCTTGATTGGTGAGAAACATGAAAGAATAGTTACTAGGTACAAGTAACAATAGTTAGTAGTTACAAGTTAATATAAGTACTTACAAATTAGTAGTTATAAGTAAACTCAACCCAAATTGACTTAAATACTAAGAAATTTAATTGTTTGTATAACTGGCTAGTCCAGAAAGAATTCAGGCTTCAGGTGAACTTTGATCAGGGATCCACCTTCTTTTTTTCTGCAGGTGTCTTGGCTCTACTCCCCCCGCCCTTTTTGTGTGTCAGTTTTATCCTCAGTCTGGACTTCCAAACAGAAACAAAATGGCATCAGTAACATTAGGTTTTACATCTGCATATTCTACCACCCAGAGCAAGATAAAGCACCTGGGTCCCAGAACACTATAGTGTGCTCATTGGTTTACACTGGACCTATTTTCTATCCCTGAGCCAATCACTGTGGTGAGATAAATGAGATTATGATAACTGGGTCAATCCCAGCTGGGCCTCAAGGCTGCTACACCATGAGACAGGATAAGCCTGGCTTCTGGGGAAGCAATGAAAGTTGCTCAGGGTGGCACTGCAGAAGGTACACAAGATCCACCTTGGCTGAGCCTCCAGAATCACAGGCCCAGTAAGGGCTGTCCTCAAGTGAGAGAGTCCCATACTGAGGGTCAGAAAAGCTTTTGAAGGACATGAGGTCAGCCATAGGGTAGAAAGTCAAGAAACATCCTCCTCTTCCTCAATCCAGGCAAGGAAGGCTATGTGGTAGAGTGAAAAGAGCCCTGGCCTCAAAATCAGGAAGATCTGGATTCAAATGCTTGATTCTTTGTATGATTTTGGCAAATGGCTACCACCCTCAGAAGCCATTCTCTCTTCTATAAAATGTGAATATTAATGCCTGCATCAGAGGTCATCATGAGGATTAAATTAGGTGATGTTGGAAATGCTCTTAGGATAGTGCCTGGCATGTAGTAGGTGCTTAATAAATGATACACAAGTACAAATCTGATCCCAATGGAGTGTCCTCCATTAGCTATGGCTTTGAGGAGTTTGAAGCACTTTTCTCCCTTCTGGGATAGCTGTGTTTACTGTAAGGACCAAATTAGATGGAAAATCTCTAAGGTCATCTCTGACTTTGTAAACAGAGCAAATGAACAGGAGGAAATGTAATTCCAAATACCCTCTCCTAGCCTAGTCCAACCTCTGGTGTTGATACAAACTCAAGCAGGCTTTTTCTGCGGCTCATGGCTCCTGGAAATGGAACCCAGCCTGGGTCAGGGATGGGAGTGGATTTGACTTGTCCTTTTGGCGTCTCCTCAGCCTGCGGAGCCCAGGCCTCTTGGAGCATCTTTGGGGCTGACGCCGCGGAGGTTCCGGGCACACGCGGCCACGCCCGCCAGGAGGCTGCCATGCCCCACATTCCCGAGGATGAGGAGCCCCCTGGAGAGCCACAGGCAGCCCAGAGCCCCACCGGCCAAGTAAGTGCCCCCTCCTTGCCTGCAGTTAGTCTGGCCGGGGCCAAGCCAAGTGCCCTGGGCTGGTGCCACATCACTCAGCCTGGCTAGAGGGTTTGCTGACAGCCTGTGCAGGCTGCAGTGGGCACCGGGGGAAGGTGTGTGGCTGCCACACTGAGGAATAACTACCCAGGGTCCATTTGAATTGGCCAAGGCCCCCCATATATCCTGAGAGCGGAACCTCCTATGCTGTGTCTGACTGAGGTCTCCTGGAAGGTCCAACCACCGTAACCCTGTAGGCACCCTCCTAGAATGGAGAAAGACTTGGAGGAGAACTGTCAGCACAGAGGGCCTCGTCATGTCAGGGGTGTGGTCACCAGCAAAAGGCCGTTTAAACTGAGTCCACTTAAAGTGAAGATCAAAATTTTATAGTAAATAGTGGAAAAGATTTTCAGTAAAATTGTATTATAAAAAAGAAATGATGAAAAGAAATTAATTTGAAGGGTCTCATTGAGATTGTATTGTCAAATGAAATTATGAAAACAAATTATTTTAGCTAGACATATAACAAAAGATTGATTATATGCTACTTTTTTAGAGGGAACAAAGAATTAATTGTGTTGATTTTGGCATTGGTATATTTATTCTTTATACCGACATGATGATCTGTTCATATGAACCACATTCCTCACATTTTACTTTACAGCACCTCTGTTAAGAGATTGTGTGTTTAATATTTAAGGGCTTCATTCATTTTCCCAAGGACCTCTATGGATCCTTCAATATGCAAATCATTTTCTTTTTTGGCCAATACAAATTATCTTTGTAATTTTTTCTTTGTTAGCTGCCCAGCTCCACCTGCTCTTCACTGGTCCAAGACCGTGCATGTGAAGTTTTCCAACACTGTTTTCTTTGATTTCATGAACTTTGCACTTGGTTTGCACTTGTACCACCCCATTATATCTGACAGATGTCTGAACTGACCTCAGCCCAAAGGGACAGACTCTTGTTAAGTGAGGGAAGAATGTATGAGTGAGCATTAATTTGGTAAGCAGGCAGACTCTCAGTGAACATTTTCATGTTAGGATGACATTTGTTGTCTTGCATGTCATAACTGTGGGAACTCAGATAGTAAATACTTAGAAAAGAGTGGCTTCTTGTATCTCCCTATCGCAAACTCCTGGGACTGAGATGTTGCAGAACTTGGCACACTTGGGGAGCCCTTGAATTTCTAAGTGGGAGTGAGCCAAACCCCTATGCATTTGGCCACAGGCAGCCAGCTCAGTGTTTTATTGAACCTCTCTTCCAGGAATGTCATGAGCCTGGTGGGTGCTGCTTATCAGTTGCTCTTTATGGCTCTAGATTGCTCCTCTGCTCTTCTATGGGTGATGTCTGGTCTTCCCCAAACTGGGTGCTCTGCTGCTGCCCCCTTTCTACTGCTGCTCCTAACCAAGTGTGGACAATTCCCTTAAAACACTGGTAATAGTGGGTTATAAGTTTTAGCCAACAAAAAATTTGTTAAATTTGTTAATCCACTGAAGGTTTGAAGATTAAAGAAGAGAATGACAGCATAAAGCAAAACATCCACATCTGGATTCAAATGTGACTGCTCCCTCTCCTCAGTCATGACTTTCCCAAGTTCTGTCCCCTTAGCATCCTTACTCCCTAGCCCTGGGTTCCTTCTTACCACAGCCCTTCCTGACCCCTTCCACCTCACTAATAACAATAGTGTGCTTAAACCAGATTCTGATGCAAAATCTGGCTCCTGAATCCTAGTTAGTTCCCCCAAACAGCTGTCATGCCATACTCCTCAAGAATACAAGTGTTCCTAAAAAAAATAAAAATAAAAGATTGGCAATGCTGCAACTCTACCGTTAGTGAAGAGATCCTTTTACACTGAGTTTAGTTTACCTTTAGTTCATCATCTCACCTCTCTAAATAAAAGAACCTTTAAGCCTTCTCAGGAGACTAAGACAAAATAGCACAAAAGTCTGCTGGCCCTTCTTATCATCACGACTTCAAACCACACCTAGGTATAGCTCCATTGGGTCAGAGGTGAGCCTGAGTTTCCAGGCACAGCCAAGCCAGGGGAGGGAATCCATAAGCTAACCACAGACTTGAGGGTCAGAGAGCCCTAGCTGAACAGCAGAGCTCCAGATTCCAGCTTTCCACAAGCTCACTCTCCTTATGACCTTGAACCAGAACCAGACTTCTGTAACATGAGGGGGTGGGCCCCCATGGCCTCTGAAGGTCCCTCAAATGCCATGATTCTATCTCTGTGCTTGTGGGAAGTCAAGACAATAAAGGGAATGCTTGTGGTACCAATAGCTTCTGTGTTGCTGGAGCCCAGTAGGAGAAGGACCCATGAGGACTTCAGGTGAGCTGATGCACATAAGGGAGTACCATTAGCACAGGATTTAAGAAGGTGGACTCTGGAATCAGACCAAGCTGGGCTCCTCCACATCCTGGTCAAAAGACCTCCTGTGAGCCTGTTAACTTTTCTGTGCCTCTGTTTCCTCATCTCTTCCTCAGGGCAAGTGTTAGTGGCTGCCTCCTCGACTCTGGTTGGCCCAGGCCTCTAGTACCTTTTTTGGCTTGAGGGACCATGGGGCTGGGGCAGGTTAGACCCTAGACTGAAGGCAACATCAGATTCAGTATCCTTTTATTCTCTGCCCTTACTGACAGGCACTAGGCCTCCCTGAGTTTTCCAGAAGCCCACGGGCATTGTCAGTGAAGAGCACCTCCCTCTTTGCACCCATCAGACAACCTACATTGGGCTTCTCAGGCAGCCACAGCCTCAGGGGAGGGTCAGGCCTTGTGAACAGGGCTGGAGCCTCCAGGGACTAGAGCCCAAGTCCCTGGGAGCAGCGGAAACCAGGCAGCCAGGAAAGCAGGATTGGTTAGGAGGATTTGGCTGAAATTCCCAGTACCGTGTGAACTCCCTCTCTGTGAGGCAGGCAAAGAACCAGAGCATCCTTTTGAGTTTACAGCTCCCCCGGGTACAGTCCTACTTCTAGTTCCTCAAGCCCCAGCCCCCATTTCCCATTGCTAACATGAACACGAGCTGAGACCTTCTCACACAAAAACACAAAAGCTGTAGACCTAGATCCTGTTTTCCTTTCTGCATGCATGCGCGTGCACACCACCCCCCCAAAACACACACCCTTGAGGTCCCTAATCAGAAGCTGTAATCAAGACCCACAAAGAAATAAAGCTTCCAGACAATGCACTCTGTGAAGTTGTGTCCTGAGTGTGTTTTCTGGGTTGGCCCTAGAACTGGGAGGGGCTCAAAGGAATGAGCTTGTAGCCAAGAGGTCTGGCAGGAATAAAAACTATCAGGACACAAGCCTGGGACCTTAAGGGACCACAGAATGACAGACCATCAGAGTTAAGAGCTAGAAGGGATACTAGATCTCATCTAAGACCCTTCCCTCCCAGGCAGGCAAAGTTCTGCATAATGTGAGCCCTCAAAGAGTTACTGGAAGCTTGTTAAACCCGGATTCCTCCACCAACCCAGGCCTATTGAATCAATCTTCTGGGGTGGGTCTTGGGAGTTTATAGGAGTAGCTCCATACAGGGGAACTGCCCACCTCACAAGGAAGTCTGTGCTGTGGTTGGCCAGCTCGGCTTGCTGGTCAACCTGGAACTGCCTCCCTGTGACTCCCCCTCAGTTCTGCCCTCCACAACTGCCTATAGTGGGGTGAAAACCTACAGATGCAGGAAAGCAGTTTACACATCTTCCCAGAGTCTCCTTTCCTCTGTTCCTCCAGGCTTTGCTCCCAAATCTCTCCTCTGGGCACATACCCACCTATCTCCCATAATCATGGGGCACCAGACCTGGCCCTGGGCCCCAGAGGCAGCAAGACCAGGACATCAACTGTTTCCTGGCCTGTGATGAGCAGCCATATCAGAAAGCTGACTCATTGGAACAGCATGGCTTCCTCAGAAGTGCTTTGCAAACCTGAGTGTGCAAAGAGGTTCAGGTCAGCTCTAACAGCTGGCTCTAGTTTCCACCCAGACAATCCCCATCCTCTTTCAGGGGTTTCTGGAAGCTCCCAGGTGTAGGTCAATGTGAACTCATAAGCAGACCTCCATCTTTCACATCATCTGTTCCAGTAGCCCCCCTTCCACCACCCCCTGACTAACTCCCACCCCCATCTCCATTGTCCACAACACTTCATCATAATGCCAGGCATTATTCTACTGTATGAATTTATTTAACTTTCAATCAACCTTATGAGGTAAGTATCATTATCCCCATTTCATAGCTGAGGAAGCTGAGGCACAGAGAAGTTAAGCAGCTTCCTCCAAGATCATATAGCTCATAAGCAGCAGGCCCAGGATTTGAACCCAGGCAGCCTGGCCCCAGAGCCCATACTCTTAGTCTCTACCCTGCACTAAGTACTCTTTGCCTCGGGGGCCCTCTATGAGAACCCTTGGTGCCTGAGCCAGGGGTACACTGTCCTGTGCTTCTAAAGTCCTTGTCTGAGATGGCCACCCTGGGCCCCTACAAACACACTGCCATGCACACTCCAAAGCACCGCAGGGTCTTACTTCTGCTTGCCATCCTCTCAGATGCCTAAGCCCATGGGGCCAGAAAATACAGCTCCGTGTCACACATCCTGCTGAGACACTGCACTGCCTATGCCTTTTTCATTCTTTTTCAGCCATCAGACAATAAAACAGCCCAACTCTATGCATACTGACTCCTAGAAACACAGATCACCATGCAGTTCCTGGTTCAGGCTACACACGAGTTACTGTCTCTGTACATCTCCCTATGTGCCTACTTCGTACTGCACTTTCTGATCATCTAAACAACTTGATGCCTAACCGTGTTATACAGCACCATCTTGTTGACTTAAGATTACCGCAGCACTCAACAAACCAGTGGCATCCCTGCTCCCACCCCTTTCCCCACCTCCAATTTTCAATTAACTGAAAATCAGGTTGGAATGTGGAGAATCAGCCCTCTGTGTGTAGCCCTAACAGCAAGGGATCCGCTGTGGAGCTCCTAGAACCTC